AATGATCCAGCCTGAAATGGAAGTAGTACTTAGGACAAGAAACCCCAATCTAGACGAACACATCTACCATCCTCCAGAATGGCAGAGCCTTTGCAGTGATCTATCTGTGTATTCTGGGGCTCAATCTATTGATATTATATGGGTCACAAATACCTTCTTTATTCACTGTTATAGAGCCCTATTTTGTATCTGGGTTCTTAAATTTTTATAAGTTTCTCTTTTTAAATCTTTTATTTCTTTTATGAATTCCTTCCCCACATTAAGGTTAAACAGAGTGCTTTCTTCTACACAAGTTACAAATATTTTACATTTGTCTTCAACCCATCTGTAATTTATGTGATAGTAGTCGATATAATTTTATTTCCATATGGATAGCCCATAGTTTTAACAGCATTTTGTGAATAGCTCATTTTTCTCCACTAGTAGGTAACACTGATTCTGCTGCTTAAAGTTTCCATATGAAGGCTTGTCTGCTTTCAGGCTATTTTTTATATATTCTTATATCATTAATTTTATACTTTTATTAGAAACCTTGCTATATGACATATCATAATTCCTTCCTCATAATTTTATAAAATTTATGCTTACGTATGAATTTCAGGATGGCCCTTCTGAAATTATAGTTGAAATTATACTCAATTTATAGGTGGAGCAAATATGCTGATTTTTCTCACTATGAACATTGTTTCCTATTTGAATTTTTCCAAAACTTTCAGTGACGTCGAACAATTTCTCTATAATGATAATGATACGTTTGTTCCTGGGTGCTATGTGTTGCCTATTATGAGGTTTTTGTTTGTTTTTCTATCATCTCCAATAACTTTTTGGGTTTTAAGTGCTTTTAATTCAAAACAGTCAATAGAATGCTATGCATCCAATAATGTTTTTTAGTTTGGGTCTCATATATGGCAAATTTGCTGAGCTGTCTTAGTAGCTTGTCTGTAGATTCTCTTGGATATTTTACTTGATTAATCACAGCATCTGCAACAGTAACTCCTATTTGGCTCAGGACACTGGTTCTGATCTATAGAACAGTTTTGAAGAGGTAGTGTCTTCACTGCTTTAAAAGATATCACTTTTTAAGATTTACATACAAATATGACTTTTTTCTTTCTAGATTTTTGGCAGACACTTTTGATGAAGTTGAATGGGGCTTAGAACATGCCACCCCAAAATATGCTGCTGTTGCATACTGATTATTGTGATCTGAAGGCACCTACGATACAGCAGATGTATGAAGGGCTCTCTGACCTTCCCCTTTCTACTTAAAAGCAAGTCACAAAATTTTCCCTAAGATAGAAGACATCCCTGTACCAGGAAAAGACAACATTTTTATGATGGGAGACTGGAAATTAATGCTGAAACGGTCTGCAGAAACAAACCTATTAAAATAATCCTTATCTTCCACTAATTTTACTCATATTTTTCCTATTGACTTCTCTACAATTTGTGAAGCTTAAATTCCTTTTCCTTTGTCTTGTCACTTCCCTGCAAATGTAACATTCTTTCTTTGTCTTTTTTTTTTAAAGGCATATAAGCTCTCAGTCCTTTCCGATGATAGGAAATGCTCCCATGTGCATGTAAAAATATTAAATAAAATTTGTGTGCTTTTTCCCTGTTTACCGACGTTATGTTCATTTAATTCACAGGCCCCAGCTACTGAACCAAAGAGGGCAGAAAAAGTTTTCCCTTCTCTATAGTTTCAAGGAAGATTTATTCAGTTAGCGATTTTCTAAGTTTTTAACAACCTGAATGGCTGGTACTAAGCCATTTATAACACAGCGCAGCTTTGTTCTTTAAGCCTACCCAGTTTGCCTGAAGGACTTGCTCTTCTATTTGAAGATGCAGCTGGAAAGCCTTCCTCATTCTAGAAGCTGCCTCCTTTTCACCCCCAGCCTTGCTGAGCACATTTCAGGGAAATCCATTTGGCTTAAATCAGCTTTGACTGGGATGCTTTTTTTTTTTTTTTTTTTTTTTTTTT